CTACTAGTGGCTACCTGTGGCTTTGTGTAGTGGCTGGTAGCTATTGGTACCAACCACTGCTCCTTGTAAATACTTGTAAATGAGTTGTGGTGAACTCGTGGCTCAGTGTTTGTGGCTACCTGAACCTGCCTCTGACAGATCAGGTCAATCTGCCTGATATTCTGACGAGCTGGACACTAATGCTGTGGCGCCCCCTGCTGTCAGAGGTCAAATATACATTAATGCTTGTTGTTTTCGTCTCCGTCTGGTTGTTGCTGAAAAGCAGAAAAGTGATTAAAGCATCAGCTGTGTCTGTCGTTAGTGACTGGATGAGACCAGCTGTCACTTTGTGTCAATAAAGATTTACAGACACTTTGTTTGTCATGTTTGAGTTTCCTCAAAAACAGGAAGACAAAATAAAAACATTTGGACAACGCCACGGTCCCAACGTCACGTCAACGTTCTGGTCGCATGACACGCTCAGACGTAAAGGAACAAAGTATTTGCTGAGTTACTGCAGTAACTGAGATCCTGCTCTGCATCAGTGAGTCCACTTCCTGTTCCTGGGAAGGTGGAGGACAACCGGAAGTTCCCAGCAACAGGTGGTGAAGACGTTGTTTCTGTTTTTATTTGGTGAAATATAAAAAACCCCAGACTAGTCCAGAGGCACATGAATGTTGTCCTGAGCAGCGTGTTCGTGTCCCGGAGGCTCCTTCATGAAGCACCACAGCAGGAGGAAAGGCTTTTATTTTGATGCACACCTTATTGTGAAATACCTGCGCGCGTCTTCCGGGTGTCCGTCGGTGAAGCGGTCCGGGTGTGTGAGCGAACTGAAGCCGACGTTGGACGCGTTTCTGCTCAGATCTGCGTGTTGAAGGTTCGTGGCTGTTTGTTTGTTGTTTACGTGTTGTTTGTTTACGTGTTGTTTGCTTCCCGTTTACCGTAAAGCGGTGCGTGAAGGCCGGCGGAGCTAATGCTAACAGCTAGCCTGTTAGCTGAGGCGTTCATTCATCAGCGCGCCGCTGATCAAAGGTTCCTTCAAGGTTCCATTAATGTTCTCCAGTGTTCGGTTCTGCTTCCGGCTGCTGCAGAACCAGAACTTCGCGTAAGAATTAAACGTGTTGAACGTTTTAGTGTCGATGAAAACAGAACTCACTGCTGTTAAAACCACGATGTTTGTCCTCTTCCTCCGGCACTGATCGATTGATTCATATGTTTATTGGAGTATCGATCTATTGGTGACTCTGTCTCCTTGTTGTTTTCACGTGTCTCTCGTCTGTGAAGCAGCTTTAATAACCGACACTTCCTGGAGGAACACCTGGGCAGGTGGAGGAACTGTCTGCTCATGGCTCACATCACCATCAACCAGTACCTGCAGCAGGTGACCTCTGACCCCGCCCCCCATGACCCCCCACGGCCTGCCGCTGCACCTTCATCATCTTCTTCATCTTCTTCTTCTGCTCCTGCAGATCTACGAGGCCATCGATAACCACGAGGGTTCCTTCTGCGCTGAGCTCCTGTCCTTCAAACACCCGCACGTGGCCAACCCCCGCCTCCAGGTGAGGCCCCGCCCCACAGGTGCTCTCTGCGTTGCCAGGATACGACCTGACCTGTGTTTGTGTTGCAGCTGGCGAGTCCAGAGGAGAAATGTCAGCAGGTTCTGGAGCCGCCGTATGACGAGATGGTGGCGGCTCACCTCAGGTGGGTCATAGGTTATTGATCAGTGGTGACTGGGTCAGGGTCACTGAGTATTGATGAGTGATTATTGATCTCTGATTACTGGTTATCGGTTCTTTAGAGAGAGAACAATCAATGTTCTGATGAACTGTTGTCACTTCCTGTATTTTCTATATCATCTCGTTTCTGAAACATTTTAATTTTCATATTTATTGATCTGCGCTTTGATGTCGACCGGGTTCACCTGAACCGGGCAGCGTGATGATGTCACCGTGACTGTTGCAGGTGCACGTACGCGGTGGCCAATCACGACTTCGTTGAGGCCTACAAGTTCCAGACGCTCGTCGTTCAATATCCTTCAGAGAAAACCGACCAGTAGCTCTAATCAATACAGTCGATCAGCTCCTTGACCCTCCACGTCCTTCCTCAGAGCCTTCCAGTCCCACAAGGAGGAGAACTGGTGAGTGGACA